ATGGCTCGTCAGGACTTGAAAGATAATCCTGTTCGTTGATGGCTGTTAGCGGTCGTCCGATCAAAAAGTCCCCTGGTGTAAGGGGACTTTTTGATCGGGATACTCTCGATTTCGGCGAGCAACGTTCCGAACTCTTCGAATGTGAGCCGAGCTTTCTGCGTCACTATATTTAGATGATGTTTGGCCGACTTGACTGCTGCCTCCCAAAGTCCTATGTGGCGAGCCGGGTGGGTTGAAATGCCACTGTGTACCATCCATCGCTAGGAAGTCCGCTACACGATTTTTGTGGTCGGATGAACTGATTTTCTGATACCAATATCTCATTTCGTTGTCTGCTCCCAAAAAATTGGTGCCATTGTCGCTGTACATATGCCCACAGTCGCATGGCTGCCAAGAATGCTTTCGTGGAGAGCTTGGAGACCGCCTCGAGATGTACTGCTTTGGTCGCGAAGCAAACAAAAATTGCTATGTAGCCTTTGACACCTTGCTCCGCGAGCAAGGTTGCTGCACACAGCTCCAATCGAGGTAGCGATGGCCTGTTGATGGGCGCCACGCACGATTTGGACCCAAGTAGGTGCGAACTGATATCGCCGTTTTCGTCGATCGCTCGTAATTATACAGCTGCTCCATATACTTCGAGTGACCCACACAAACTTCGAGTCACAAAACCCGTGGAGATGATATTGTACCGGCTGTGGGACGCTTATGCACCGGCGTGGGACCTTGATTTGTCAGACATCTCGTAGATGCACCAAGTATGTACGCCACCGGTGGTTGAACTGATTTGGCAGCGGCTCAGACCAATCAATTTGGATTTTCCACAACTCCAGCATCAACATTTTTGCAATCACCGCTATTGGTCCGATGAGTCCAAGATGATAGAAGATCTTGTCGATGGTGGATAGTACTTCTCGCTTCGTGAAGCACTCCTTGATGGGATCATCAGATGCCTTGAAGGTGAAGAGATCTTCCCGATGTTGCGATTGGACGCCGAGTGTCTTGATGGTCTCCTGACTGTCTAACGCGTGAACTACGCTAACTGCTCTGTCTTCTGGCGGTATATCGTCTAGCACTTCCCTGTCGTTGAACGCCTACTTTCGGATCTAAAATCCTCCTCGCTTCATCATTTCAGTAATCTGCTGAAGTTTTTCCTTGGCTTCCTCGCGTGTTGCTGCACCGGTAAGTAGATCATCAACATAGTAATCTTTGATTGCTTCCTTGGCCAGCGGGAATTCGGTGCCTTTGTCCTCTCCTAGCTGATTTAACGTTCTGGTTGCCAAGAAAGGAGCACGAAACATGCCAAACATGACGGTGTTTAGCCCGCATTCCGCCATAGGTTGTCCGAATTCTTGCCATAGTATGCGGATTCGTTCACTGTCTTCCTCGGTCACCTTCACTTGAAGAAACATCTTCGTAAGGTCTGCGGTGAGTACGAACGGATACAATCGGAAGTTCATCAGGAGGTTATACAACGTATCCTGCACGATGCGTCCGATCGCCAACAGGTCGTTGAGCGACAGTCCGTTCGATGATTTCTTTGCTGCATTGAACACCACTCGAAGCTTCGTAGTAGAGCTTTCAGCTTTGATGGCGCCGTGATGCGCCAGGTAAATGATCTTCGGGTGATTTGGATTGGGTGCAATTCTCGTGATGTGGTTGTTTGCAAGGAACTCTTCCAACGTACTTGTGGTAGAGTACGTACTTTTCCGGATCCCGCTGCAGTTGCCGTTGCATTGCCGTAAACTGTGCCAATACGGAGTAGCCGGTTTCTCTTATCGCTGTAGGATCGCGTATGAACGGCAGTTTATCTATGTAGCGTCCGCTGGCATCGAGCACCGTAGTCTTAGTGTAGAGCACCTCGCAGAACTGCTCCTCCTGCGTTAGATGCTGACTGGGCTTGAAATCTTCGATCTCCCAGAACTTAGAGACTAGCTGGCTCAACGATGGTTCGTCCTCGGGGTCAACATGCGACACGAAGCACAGTGGAGCTTGTAATGTGGAGTTTTTTTTTGATTCGTATAAACCAGCTACCACATGCGATCGGAATGCAGAAGGTTGTAGAACACGCTGGCCCCAAGTAGTAGATCCACTTCGCCGGGAATGTTGAATCGATCGTCTACCAGCGGCTTGCTGGCCGGTTGATTCGGTGCGGTTTCAACATATTACTATATATCAACAATTCGGGATGAGAATGAACCATCAGGGAACCCAATTGAAGCGATTTGGATGGGGAGAGTGAAGATGTCAACTCGCTGTTGCTAACATTTCGTGGATAAAGCGCGAGCTCTTCTCCCCATTCATTGGTGCGAGTTTTTGGTGTTTTGTGTTCATAGGATAATGTCCTGTGTTTTAGGGTTTTATAATGCCTTAAAGCCAGAAACCTAGCCTTTCTTGATGTGAAACGGTCTATCAGCGGCTGGAAAGAGTTGGAACCGGTGGGGAACATTGTTGGAGACCGTCTATAGAGGATGATGAATAGACTTTTGTAGTTTGTTTTGTGTGGGTTGCAGCATCATTTGGGGTCTGATTAACTGCCTCTTTCTCTTGAGCCCACTCTAGAACCTACATTTTGTATTTAGATCTATAAGTGAACTGCTGGTTTGAGCTTCTCTGATATATTCAATTAGAGGATGTTCCTGAATATACAGTCAAACAGCACGTAATGTTGTGAACAACTTCAATGACAGTTGTCCAGGAGGGGTCCCATTTTATTTACAACAATTCAATGCCTACGAAATTGTGCCGAAGATATGCCGATGGATGTGCCAAAGCTGTGCCGCATCTAATTTCGACACAATGTGCTGAGTGACTTACCCCTTGTCCGACGACGAGATAGAATAAAACGTATGCGCAGCTGGAGCAGGCTTCAAAATCGTCATCGGCCACATGAACGCTCAGGTAGGACGGGAGGCAATGTACAGACCGGCAATCGGGCCAAACAGCCTACATGCCGGATCGAACGACTACGGTCAACGATGCGTGAACTTTGCAGCCTCCCATGGTATGGAAGTCAGAAATACCGTTTTCCCCCGCAAGGATATCCACAAAGCCACCTGGAGATCACCTGACCAACACACAGAAAACCAAATCGATCACGTTCTAATCGACGGGAAATTCTTCTCCGACATTATCAACGTCAGTGCGAACATAGATTCTGACCACTACTTAGTTGCAGTATGTATGCACTCAAAACTCTCGACGGTGCATAACACCCGTCAAAGTCGAACACCACGACCCAACATTGAGCAATTACGGAACGCCGGAGTTGGCCAGGATTACCCAACATTGAGCAATTACGGAACGCCCGAGTTGGCCAGGATTACGCGCAGCAGCTGGAAGCTGCACTACCCACGGAAGAGCTACTCTTGAAGATGACTGGAGGGACATCCTTTCCGCCATAGGTAGTACTGCTGCAGCGGCACTAGGTAAAAAGCTTCAGCAGGAAGACCGAGATCGCAAGGCGATAGAAAATCTGCACCGCGTAAACGACATTCGGAAGTTCTACGAGATGCTAAATAGTTCGCGCAAAGGCTACGTGCTGCAAGCCGATATGTTTTAGAACGAATGTGAGCACCTCAACGGTGATGTAGCAGAAAACGAAGGTAGCACGGCAACAGACCTTGAAGCACACGCAGAAGACGACAGGTTCCCGGTCCCTGATCTTCAAGAAGTTGAGGAAGAGATCAGCCGGCTGAAGAACAACAAAGCAACTGGTGTAGATCAACTACCAAGTGAGCTATTAAAATACGGTGGTGAAGCACTGGGTAATCGCCAAGATTAAGGAGGTGGAGATATTACCGGACGAATAGATGGAAGGTGTCGTATGCCCGATCTACAAAAAGGGCGACAAGTTGGATTGCTGCAACTACCGCGCGATCACACTGTTGAGCGCCACCGATAAGGTACTCTCCAAATTGTATGCTGCAGCTTTTCATCATTTGCAAGAGAGTTCTTGGGGAAATACCAGGTGGGATTCATGAGTTCCACTGTTTTTCTCTTGACGTGACTCTTACACACAGAGTCTAGTTTCATCTTCCAAAATCCCTTATCATTATCCTAAAAAAATAACTCTCAACTTGTTTAATACCACGTACAGACTATGGCTTATATCATGTAATATAGGGCTGTCTTGCAATGAGCACTCATACATAGGATTTCCAGTGGAAATTATATTACATTATATAAGCCATATTTTGTACGGGGTATAAATCGTTAAACCTGATACGGTTCTTTTGTAATAATTTCTGAAAAATTGGGGCAAATTAGTTAAAAATATAAGTTAGCATATATCTGTGCAATTTGAAACAATTGTTGTCGGATTCTTGAGATGTTTTTCAATTGCAAATCAACTATGGATAATTTTTATCATCACGATTAAAAATTTTGAGAAATATACAAGATTTTGGGTTTTTTTGCGAAAGCGCCAAAACACCTAACTTGGACTATCCTTCCCAAGATGAAACCAATTCCAAACGATTCCTGAGCCTTTTTTTCTGTTAGAACGACTATATTTGATCAAGTTTCTTCAGTGCAAACAGGAGTTAATGTGTGTGGTAGTTTGCTATCATCCTAAAACACCTTCCCAGCAGCAAAAATTGACCATAAACGAGCCGCCGAAGGTGCAGTCGGGTTGATTTTAGCTTGACCCTTACACGGCGGCTTGATTATGAGCGCTTCGCTTAGTTAAAAAAAAAACATCCTAAAATTTCAAAGACTGACAAGAAAATATGGCGACATGCTTCTTCCATAGCTGTTTGCACTGGGTGCAGCAACCTTTATTGTGCAAATCTATGAATTTTATCCTAAGCCATAATAGAATATCATATTTGAATGAAAAATTGAGAAATTTCCTCGCCTAATGCTTCTGGAACCATTCTCACCAACACAAAGAAAATCCAATAATACTTCTACCAGATGTTCCCCGTGTGTATTCCACCAATCCTATAAACTGCAACTCATCGTACCGGCAAAAACATACAACGGAAAAGAGTTTATTCATTCATTCGCTTCTCATACATCAGTGTTCAACTGCCACTCCCGACAAGCGGACGTATCTTCCACATATCTATCGTATTCGGTGTACAGTCGAGGAAAACACAGAAATCTTCAACCAACGCAAAGATGCAACTGTTCAATAACATCAACGAAGATGTCTACCGGGCGTACGTCTTCTGGTCCTCGGTCCTGGTCGTCAAGATGCTGGTCATGTCGATCCTGACTGGAATGCAGCGGTTCCGGAAGAAGGTGAGTGTGACCACCTTGAACCTAATCTCCGTCCATTCTCGTCCCCGTCGTTCCGATCATTGGAGTTGACATAAAATTTATGTTTGTGTGCTCCAACGTGGCAGCATGCGAGTATTTGATTGATCAAAGCGTAATTATAAGCTCGCTTGACGAAGCGAGCTATAGCGCTATTACGCAACGGCTCTCATCAAAACTGATTGTGTATGCAAACAAAGATGGCCATGACCGTTGCGATGCCGCTTCAGCCGGGCGTCGGCTTGCTGCGATCGATTAACGAATTACATCTCTCGAGTTGATGGATTAAACAAAGCGTGCTGTGATTAATTCTATCACGGGAAAAGATGCTATCATTTAACGATAACGACTATAACAGATAAGATCATTGTACAGTTGTGTCGCCATCGGGGATGACTTGCAACTTTACACGTCATCTTGTTTATAGTTCTTCTGTTCTAATAAGAATTTTCCAACACATTCTAGGCTTTCGTTAACCCGGAAGACATCGCTACACAGCCAAAGCTGAAGATCAAGACTGATGATCCCGATGTTGAACGTGTGCGTCGGTAAGTAATGCACGAAAACGTAAACAAATCGACCACTGTTAACATTGCCCATCTGCCTTATTCATCCTCACAGCGCTCACCTGAACGATTTGGAAAACATCCTTCCCTTCTTCGTGATCGGTTTCTTCTACATCCTAAGCAATCCGAATCCGTTCATTGCGGTTAATCTGTTCCGTGCCGTTGCCGTGTCCCGCATTGCTCACACGTTGGTCTACGCCGTGGTGGTCATCCCGCAGCCGGCCCGGGCCATCGCTTGGCTCATTCCGTACGCATCCAGCTTCTACATGGCCTTCAATACGATTCTTCACTTTCTGTAAAGAGTGATTTTGTTTTGAATTAGTACACGTATAAGGGTTTTTGGTGTCATAGTTAGCTTTAAGATGCGAACTCATTTGCATTTTTGACAAGTGAAAGAGAAATCATCGTGAATCTTAACGATTTCCGTCGACATATTTATCGAAAAATCACTCAGGATACATTCGAGCTATCATTATCATTAAATAAACTTGAAAAAACTCAACACTGGTCGTTTCATTATGAGAATCTGAAAATGATTTGACCAAAACAATCTGAAAACCGAACACGTCAGCGATTCAAATGTGCTGAATCAGAGATAAAAGTCAAACGCAGAGATAACCCCCCTTCCAACGCTCCGACATCTACCTACTAAGCCAGATTGTAGGCATGGCGTAACAAAACAAATTGAACACGGCTCAGCTGAATACGGTAAGCCGCAATGACTGCTTAGATACAGACGAGCAACAAATCAAGCAAATGAGTCGTCGAAAGGAAGCCTCTCGATAGCGTTGCTATTGAAATCACGACATACCGTTCGGGAAGCAACGGGATCGATTCCTGGTTTAGTCTAGAAAAGTTTCAAGGTGGAGTACAGGTGTAGATAGTTCCCAATTAGCAATTGTAAAACTGCTCGAAGAGTGCTTGAGAGCAGACGTAATGTTCCAGTTGGGACGTCAAACCAATAATAAGAAAAAGCTATCAACCTCTTACAACATAAATATTTACCTGTTGCTTTATCGCTCAGTTCTATTCACAAGAAAGCCCCAAATCTGAGCATTCGACACCCAAATAGAAACCAGCTTTCTAAACACATTAAAATTCATTGAGCCAAAAATCCTCTCAACCGCTGCCGGTATCGAACGAGTTGTTTTTTTCTCATTTTAGTTAAAATACAACCGTTGAACCTGACGCAAGCACGTCGAAGGGAGTTTCTCCAGCAAGATTCGCTCAGAAACGAATAAAAAATGACCAACATTTTGGATCAAATGGACCCGGAATTATTCCGCACGTACGCATTCTGGAGTGTGATATTGGTGCTGAAAATGGTGCTCATGACCCTGCTGACAACTTTAAATCGGTTCAGGAAGATGGTGAGTTTTTTGGGCTCTCGTGATATAGTGTGCAAGTGGAAATGGAAACAATGCAGGCTGAATAAAAAGTAGCAGTAACTATTATTCAGGTGAAAGTGAATTCAGCAATCTATTCGCTGAATAAAAATTTCGTGTGTTGCCTACCTCTTGGCGAACGCTACGTAATATTTGAATGGTCACTGAGTGAGATTGAACGGCCATGTAAAAGTTTGCAACTTGCTCACAATTGCGGTGTCATGCACTCTATTTCAATACTACACTGAAACAAATCGACATGTACCGTTTATTGGATCCATCTTATAGCATAGCAATGTTAGCAGATTTATCCATTTTATGTGATGATTGATAGATTCCATCGGATTATCACTTAAAAACTATGACTGCGATATGGAATGATTTATATCGTAATTTAACATACTTAGTGCTTGATAAAACTTTGCTTCGAACATGGTTAGCGATAGGTAAGATGTATATGAATATTGTCTGATATATTTCATGGTGAAAACTGTTGGTATGTCATGGGTGGGAACAGACACCTAGAAACTAATGGAAAATTATATAAGTTTGCTCTATGAGAAAATTCAGTAAAATATACATGTTTTCATGATGAATATTGCTCACTAAAAGATATATCTTATAAGATAATCATGTATATTTTATTGGAGTTGCTTTTAACGATTTTTGACGTTTGTTGATATGTCACATGTAAACAGACATGTAGAAACTATTGGACTGTCATTTAAATTTGCAGTATAGGAAAACATGTATATCTCATTGAAATGGCTTCCTTTGATTTTTGAGGTTTAAAGATTGTAAACAAATCTATCCCAATCATTATATAGTCATATAGATGTGCATTTTAAGAAATCCAACAGCAAACATTTGTTTTGGAATGGATTTCCGGGATGAATATCGCTCCCAATAAAAAACATCTTACATGAATTATTGAAACAATTTTCAACAATGTTGTCATACACTCATTAAAATGATTAGTCGAACTAAATATTGCTAGTAACAATGATACTGTATTGAATAAACTTTGTTTGTTATTGTTCCATAAGATAAGGGGTTCCGGAAAAGAATGTATTGAGATTAAAAAAATGAGCATGATTCTACTGCAATATTGACTTTGCTAAAATTCAAATTGTAAGCCTTCTACACGGCTAATTCAAATTTCAGCACTAGTACTCGAACTCCATGAACCAGTTCCATGAACTCATATAATGTAGTCGTTGTTTTATTGCACACAGGAACATTAAGCAAGATTTGAATACGCGACACCACCGAAACGGAGCATACATTTGTCAGTGTTAATTTTCTTCACTCTAGCAAAACGAGCATAACGTTGCACTACATTCCATGTCGGGAGAGCTGTTCTTAGTTCATGCTAATTGAACGAGCTCAATCTTGCAGTCAACCGTGGCCCAGTGGAATCGAGCGCACACCGAAAGCATCACACTTCAACAGTTCTTGATCGAATCCCAAATCAGCTACAATAAAAAAAGACACAACTGTGAAAGCTCCCACTGCGTGATGTTTATTTTTCGATTTATTTTTAGAAATCGATTAAATATATGTGTCAAAAGAAGAAGTAAATTTCATGTGATTTTCACATAAACTTTACTTCGATTGATTTATGACACATATATTATATTGTGGTGAAAAGTAAAGCTTATGCTTATGGGTTTCAAATCCATTTCAGTTAATTATTATAATTTGACCGATTTTCATTTATCATATGACGATCATACAAAAGTTACCAAATTATCAGCATTGTGAATGTATCAGATATTCATATAGAATTTACCTGACACATTTTCAATCATATCATTTTCAATGGATTATCTTATAGCGCAAATTTATTAGACTTCCACATAACAGGAATATGTCATATTGGTTCAGTGTACTCAATGACTGAGTAGAATTGTATTGCCCTCCTTTTATTATCTCACGGAAATATTACTCAGTTGCAGTTCAAAAGGGAATTTACTCAGTCACTAATTAAAAACTCCCTTTTGAACTGCAACTGTGTAAAATTTCCGTGAGAGTAAGAGAGAGGGCAATCAAATTCTACCCAGTCAATATTTGCAAATCAAAGTTGGCCCCGGGGAGAATAGAAGAACTATGAAAGTGATGATTATTTCAAAATTGTGCACGGTGAGGTATACTAGTGCAACCTTAAAATGCATTTATATTGAGAACAAATTACTTTAATGAAATCTGGTTGACGCTACGTTAGTAGAAAACTTAAGGGCTACTCATTGAACATATCTAGACCAACAATTGGAATGGGCGGAACAACCAAACGTAAACGCAAATTCCTAAAGAATCAAAGCACATCCAAGCAATCTAACACCATCATCTGATAGAGAAAACTTCCTTTATCGAATGGCTTTATTAGTTTACGTGGGAGTGTTTTGATTCTCGAGAATTTTGTGTTCAAAGCCATTGTTTACGTTTGGTTGTTCCACCTATTTCAATTGTTGGGCTAGATATAATATAAAAAAATAATTTCTTTTCAGATGTTTCGATTTATACATAGATTTCAGCTTTTCTACCTTAGCAGCAACCAGATTTTAAAAAAATCTCCATTTGCAAAATAAAAGCATTTTAAGATTGCACTCTTATATCTCCCCGTGGAAAATTTTGAAATCATCATCACTTTCATTGTTCTTCTAGTCTCCACGGGAGCCAACTTTGATTTGCCAATAGAATGGATCACATCTTTCGAGCGGTTTAAAATGACGATTCCTACCACTCGAACATTACCGTGGATCAATATTTTGATATCTATGCTTCTAAAACCTCGAGAAAGTAGGGTCTTATTTACGCTAAGCTAGAAACATGAGGAGTTTATAGCTCAATTTTCTTAAAATCGCTGGTCGTCTCAAAAAAGCTCGACAATATGATTAATTGAAAGAAAGTTTGTACCACTTTCATCATTACTTTGGGCGAACATGAGCTGTGGAACCATAGAGATAACTCTAAAACAAGAAGGTCCCGAAATAACGTGCTCAACTTTTTAACTCAGCTCTGGTACTCTCTTCGGTCCCAAGCTAATCGATGCACCCCTCTAAACATAGGAAAATCCACGAACCCCTCATTTTATCTGTCAAACTTTCATAGCGAATCAAAACAAACATAGTGTAGTACTAGAATTTCACCTAGAATGGGGTACGTTAATCGATTTGCTTGGGACCAATAGGCTAGTCAAGTAGTGAACCAATTTTAAATCGTTAGTTACCACCAGTTGGTGGAACTCTCTCGTGTTTCTGATAGCCCTATGTGCTGCTCGCCGGTTGAAAACTAACGATTTAAAATTGACTCCTTACTTGACTAGCCTATTAGTCCCAAGCAAATCGATAACCGCATCCCATTCTAATCGAAATTCTAATACTACACTATGTTTATGATAAAATGAGGGGTTCGTGGATTTTCCTATGTTTCGAGGGGTGCATATATTAGCTTGGGACCGAAGAGAGTACCAGAGTTTAGCAAAAATGTTGAGCAAGTTTCTTAAGGACCTTCTAGTCTAGAGTTACCTCTATGTTATAACTCTGTAGTCTGAACAAGGCATAAGACTAATTACGTTTTCAGTAAATCTTGTGCTTCAAGTATTCCAAGGGGAGATAACCTGGGAGAATGTTGAATAGAGTTCCTGCAGTTGTAGTGTTGAGTAGAATTGCAAGCTAGCTCTGATTCAGATATTCAGATATATTGAGCGATATTCTAACAAAATTTCTAACGAAATCTGAGGATGATTCTGAAGATTTTTTTTATATGAAATTACAGAGAATCTAACAGTTCACTTTCAGTTGTGGACACAGCAGCAATTGTATCTCTCTGTGTCTATATAGCGCTAAAAAGAGTTTGTTTACTCAATCAGGTTATTGTTCGCTGCGTGTGCATTGTCACCTTGTTATTGTTAATTGTTAATTTCGTTAAGCCTGTGAATGTGGATCCTGTCCAGATGGAAGCAACATATAGGATTGCTTAGGAGAAATCATTCTTCATAAAATTTAATTCCGAAGAATCAATGCTCCATACATTGCTGCATAACCCTGACCAATTAATTTTCCATTATGATGATGGAAAGGCAGTCGAGGTACGCATGACGAATGCGCGGGATTATGTTCAATATGTCCGCCTTTATGATCTTCCACCAGAATGTCCTGACCGCGATCTAACGTTGGTGCTAGGGAAATACGATAAAGTTTGTCATCCAAGAAAAATTCCCAGCAGAGTTGTGCGTCAACATGTACACTGGTGTAATGGCCCAAGTAAGATTCTCAATGCCTTACAACTTTATTTGAGATTTATTAAAGTTTTATGAGAGCAACCATTATTTCATTTAGTTTTATTGAGTATTCAACAAAATCCGATTCGTCATTCGTCACATTATACTTGATAGAATACTTCACTACCTTTGCCTTAATATACTTCAAACTATTTGATCTAAACAAATGTTTTATTATTATTGTATCGCCTTTTGTACGGCTGCGAAATAACACCATAGAGTTAACTCTAAGACCAGAAGGTCCCGAAGAAATGTGCTCAACTTTTTGGCTCAGCTCTGGTACTCTCTTCGGTCCCAAGCTAATCGATGCACCCCTCGAAACATATGAAAATCCATTAACCCCTCATTTTATCTGTCAAACTTTCATATCGAATCAAAACAAACATAGTGTAGTACTAGAATTTCGACTAGAATGGGTTACACTTATAGATGTACTTGGGAACAGAAGGCTAGTCAAGTAGTGAGCGAATTTAAAATCGTTAGTTACCACCGGTTGAGAAAACCATTCTAAAACAAACAATATGTTTTAAGGTGGTTTTCGGGAGAGACTGATAAATCTATTTCAACTCCAATAATTTTATCTTAAAACATCAAGGTTTGAACGGCGCCGGTGGTGTAGTGGCAAGCGTGATTACCTCTCACCCCAGCAGGCCTGGGTTCAATCCCAGTCGGCGCCGCCGGGATGTTCTGAGGCATAACAGCT